ATTTTCTACAAATTACTTTAACTACTCCTTCGCATAATTTTTAACCGTTCTTTAGGTTATTCTAACATCATTGAAACAACATATATAAATGTACAACAAAATATGTTTGTATCAAATAATTACTTTCAGTGTATTAAAAAGTAATACGCGACAAATATATTATTTTAACACAAAAAAATAGACTTTTTGGAATATACGAAAAATGTTAAAATTAACATTTTATTTTTTATTGTGTAAGTATACAATTCGCTATTATGTTCTCCGATCTAAATCGGACTTAAAATCACGATGTCACACGGAAAACCGTACCTCGTGTCAATCAATCTGCTCGGAGAGTTACAGATTCTCATAATCCAATACGTATCGAGACACGACCTCGACGACCACAAAGGGTTAAACGACTCGAAAACGCGCGGTTTCCACTTCGTTTGCTGCCTATTCGAGCATCGGTCCCATGCAACCGGTCTCGATTTAACCCGTGACTACTCCGGCAAAATCTTAAGTGCTAATGGCCGCGCGTCGAGCGTCCGACAAACGCACGTAATTTCATTAGCACTCTGAACTTTCTATGCGTTTTTCCACGCGACGGTAGAAACCCCGTTTATGGAAATCGCGTTTAACTTCGTCGTGTTAACTAGTAAAATATCGGCGAGCTTAAAGTGGTCGCTTGCAGCCTGCGACTCGCGGCAAAGCAATTTAATGGAGATCTTATTAAGGTATCGAACATCGCGAGAATCAAAAAAAAAAGAAGAAAATCGCGTGAGGCAAGCGGAGAGTGCGATGGAACTTTACAGAGAGAAAGAAAACATTTCTATAAATACATCTCGCGTGCTATTATTAAAACGATCGACTACCTTGGACGCGGTTGCACTTACGACTATCCCCCACCATTCGCGTGTAATCTTCCAACATTATGCATAGAGCCGTGTAAATGTTAATTAGCGAGCGTTTCCCGCCGGGTTCTCATTTTAGAAACCACCTCAACGCGCTAATACGTTTCGATGTTGAACCGACGTCGCGATAAATTACGAGATGCATTCCTCCTTGGCGAAATATGAAAGGACAAGATCACAGGCGCTGCTACATTCTACCGCGGCAGTTAAAGCGGTTATGCCCGCGAAGAAAAGATCGGTCGCGGTGATACTTCTAAAATTAGCACGCCACCGCGTAACTTCCTCTCTCTGTAGCGCGGCCGCGAATGTCGCGCGTAAATTCCTGCGTGCCGACGTGGACTGGCAACCGCGCGAATTAATCGCCGTGGAGCCTCGGGAAAGTTACCGCGAAAAAGCGCACTCGATGCAAAGTAATCCCGGTCGATGCCGTAAATTCCCAGCTGCTCGCCTCGCGCTTTCCCCGCGCGTTTCCACGTCTCCTGCCGCCAGAGACGAGACGACCGTAGCCGGATAATGATTTTATGCCGGTCGCGTATTTGCTCCAAGTGAGATCATTATCCGCGATTAGGATTGTGAAACGTTTCAAGACGCGAAACGACGATACGATACTCGACTTTACATCGGACGCGAGACGTCGATAAAAGCGCGATCAAGATAAAGTCGTAGTACTTTTAACAATTTTCCTAAAAACATCTGCCATATTTTGCAATTCTGTCGTACCTTTGAAAATTTTCGTTCGAGAAGCAAGAATTTTTAATATTTCGCCATGGTCGTCAATAATTCCCCCAAAATATTTACATCGTTTTTTTCAATAATACACGGGGCCATTCAATTACGTCACGCGAAATTTGTGTATTTTTATCCCTCCTCCATCACAATTTCGTCACAAAGTACTTGCTCCCTTAAAAAAAAATTAAAATACAAATAATTTTTAAAAAATACATCAAATTAACTACTTTAATTTACAATTCTAATTAGTTAAAATTGTATTTTTTTTAAATATAAATATTTGAAAATTAACATTTTGATTAAAAACCGTGTAAAACCTTAAAAATTGTCACCAAATACAACTAAATGTGTCATGAATGCAAACAAAGTAGACAACCATATGCATCCATATTTAAGTTGTCATCTAACGTGACATTCCTTGGCCTTTATTCCCCCCTCCCTTCCTGCCATCACAGACTGTCACGCAAGCTAATAGAACCTTCTCTCGAGATGTATAATTATTGAATAGCCCCTAATTTAACCTTGTAATTATTTGATCCTGGAAAAATTACATTCAAAAAATAAAAATCTTTCGCTTTACTCGAAAATTTCACCGCATTTTCTCTCTTCTCCATCACGGAGTGCGTACGTGCAATTCGAAGGCGCATATTTTCAACAATTTCGAGACTCACTTTCCACAAGGCCATAAATAAATTACCGGGGCATTCACTTAGCGCAGCTTCGCAGTTTGCGGAGGCGCATCGAAAACGCGTTTACGTCCGCGCGAGCAAGCTCGGCGTCGAGTCGATAAGCCCATCGATGCGCGCACGACGAGCATCTCTCTCTCCCGCGGTGAAATCGCAACACGTTTAATAAAGCCGTGATGTATCTGGCCGGGTTATCAATTAACGGCGGACGCGCTTAATCCACGGCGCGGAGGCATCGATAACGCCCGGCGGAGATGGAAGTCTTAATCTGTGCGGCGGGTTCGAGAGAAAATTTATACCCGACGTCACGGTTTCTCGTGCTGGGTGCGCGTTATCACGTCGCCCCCGGTATTACCGCTTTTTCCGCGTCTCCGACATCGCACCGGAGACGCGTTGGACATTAATTAAGGGCCCGGCGCGCAGCAGGTGTTACGATAATTCTTTCCAATTGGCCCCGAGACGAAACTCATTATGCGCTCGGCTATGCCTCGTTACGGGCCACATACGTGAGATTGCGTCGCGCACGGAATTATTTATTCGACTGTCAATAACGTTGCTCACGCGGCGGACACACGTAACGCGTAGCGTTCGCGTCGTCACTGTAATTTATCATGACGCGGATAAGCCACGTCGTCGATTCGTCGAAGACGCACGACGTCCGCTCGAAACGAGCAATCGTCGCTTTTTTTCATTTCCCTAATACGCTATCGCCGCTATTAATCTCTCGAAGGGAGATCTAACCCCCTCCCCTCCCCTCAGCGTCACGCGTTTGCGGAATTGCAACGTCAATTGCAACACCGACGCGCTGTCGATATAGCGTGACAGCCGTTTGACTCGCTTGTCACGGTAATGTCGACATGCAATTACCTATGCGTCATAGATATGAGCCCCGAATTCCATAGCTATCATTCTAAACGTGATAAACGGATGACTGTATCAAAGGGCACTTGTAACCTCGCATTCCATCACTTTCTCCATGCGATGTTTTTTCATCAAGAAAAAAACATACCTCGAAATGTTGCTTCTACATTCATTCCGCAAATTTTATTCTATCCAATCAATGGAAAATTTTGAAAGATAACATTGTACTATTGTCTTCTCTTTATACTACGAATGATTACCTATTGTTATTTCCTCCGTATTGAAGCGGAAATAAAAATGGGTGTATATAATATATAGGTAAGTGTGTGTGTGTGTGTGTGTGGATATAACAAAATAACCAACTTTATTTCCTTACTCTATTGTTTCTTTTTTAACGGTGAAAAAAAAACGAAGTTATAGGAGCAAATTGCAACTGTATATCTAAAAGTTTCAACAAACATTTGAATTCAAAACAATAATAATAAAACTAAAGATAAGTAAAAAGAAGACATTGACAAATTCAAGATGGCACTTGTATCCCAAAGATTGTTATTAAAACAGACGCAAATGAGTATTGTACTTGCAAGACTTACGATAAATAAATTCTCAATTTCAAGTAGAAAATCTTATACATGAGAGAGGTAATATTGTATTTCTCAGAAAATCGAGCTACAATATAAATAAACGAGGTAAAATCACATTTTACGGAATATAATCTATCGTCAGTGACGTTGAAAAAGAAATAAATACAATTTATTTGCCGTCATGGCGCGAAAGCATTTTTAATTGCGATGAAAGGGGAATGCGATTAATGGTTATCCGTTCGCGTTTCACCAAGCTCTCTTTCACTCGCCAAAGGGACGACGTAATGGCCGTGGAACGCGCGTTAAAAATAATTTCGAGCGCGCGGCCCTTTAAAAAACGAACGTTCACGCGGAGTCGTCGTCGTCGTTGTGAAATACGATCGCGGTTGAGTGTCACTCGTTATATTCCGACACAAAGGGTTAACGCGCGACTCGAGCGATGACCCAGAGTTAACCCAAAGTTAACCGAGGGCATTCTCAGAGTTGGCCCAGGGTTAGCCCTTGTCTCCGGGAAATAAATAAATCATTTTGAGTGGAAGAACGCGAGGGTCCCGGCTGTGCGCCAGCTAACCGGTAGGGCCGATGCAATTTGCCAGCCATCATCTTTTAATACGCATGACCAGTGCCCTTCCTCTTTATTAAGTTACGCCGGAAACGCGAAAGAGAAATCCAAATTTTAAGTAACTTACGCGACTAGCAAGACTTGAACTTCTCCGCTCGAGAGATTTTTTTTTTCAAGAAATAACGTTGCCCGCGCAAAAAAGATCTGCTCGAGTACTTTCGAGAGACGCAATCTATTTCCAGACTCTGCATTCATTATATCGTTTGTATTAATTAGAAAAAATTCCATGACCATTAGAAATGTCAAATTACACTCGTGACGGTTAACAAGACACTTTCGACAATAAGACAGAGATTATTCGCGGGCAAAATAAAATCTTAATTTTATACTACTCTCTAGATCTGTTATATTCATAGCCAAAACTGCACGAACTCTCTTAATTTTACCCGGCATAAATAGAAGCAGAGAGGAATATATTGATGTAAAATTTTTCCAAAACGTTCCCGCTTATGTTAATATTATATCGAATGAGAGCACATCGTGGCAATATTTTTCTTTCTGTTTAAGATTGCTTGAAAAACAGGCGGACCGAGCAGATACTTTTTTTTTTTCGCTCTCATTACAGATAATGTAATGCGATGTAAAACAGTCGGTCACAGGTCGGCCGATGATTGTTTTCACTCACCGTTTCGATGGCTTCCAGCGCCGCTTCAGCACTCCCAGCATGAGGAAACCGACGAGAACAAGACCTAGGCACCAACGGGTCTCCGACTCGCAGCTACGTATGAAGCACCACCACCAACACAACCGATCACTAGAGACCACACAACCACCGGATGACCTCGTCGATCTTTCCGGGGGATCTCTATCGGCCCGCACGAGTCACACCATGATCTCCCCCATGAGTGAGTTCTTTTTTTCGCGCGTCTCTCTCGAGTCTCTCACGTTGTTCGACACTGGCCGATCGCTCGATTTCGCGACGGTCGATCGATCGAGCTGGCCGATTCAACTATGGATGGATCGTCGTCCGTTCAACTCTTTCGCGAAATCACCACTTTCAGTCACGGTACGGCGGATCGCGCTCTACGGCTCCTCTTGTCATCCTTGTTACTGCGCGCCCTTATTCGCCGGATATCTGGGAACAGAGTGACAAAGGCAAAGGTAAGATCATCGCGGAGATCAAATGCGCGCATAACTGGAAGTGTACGGAACGTGTTAAACGTGTGTCGGTAGAGAAATTCTCTTAATTTCTCTTCTCTGCAAGAGAACATCTTTTCTACGGAAGAAAACGATCGATTCTGACTTTTTCAATGTTAAATAATCTAGCAACGACGGTGAAATTATTCTCGGAATATCTTCACCCGTATAATTTTGATTGTAAATTAAATGAGAAATAAAACTGCGTGCGAAAAATGAATATATACACGGAGAAAGATAATTTACTGGCACAGCAAATTTTATACTGTCCCAGCAAAATCTATCAGTCGTTATGGAGGTAATCAAACGATTTGTTAAGAATATTAATTGCCATTCGCTGGATTATTTTGCTGAATCTACAAATTATCTTGCTAAGAACAAATCAGTAAATATGTGAAAACATTATTTTATTACGTACCCTAAAACGAATTCACTCAGTAGAATATTTTCTATCCTGGCAACAAAACTGCTCTAATTACAAATGATTCGTTAATTTGGTCATACCGATTAAATTTTATTGTTATCACAAGGATTGTGCAGTAGCAACAATGGTTTCGCTATAACAGTAAAATTACTTTTCTCCGTGTACGTGTAAAAAAAAGGTTATATTAAGTTCATTGTCAGAAAACGAAAAGTATCTACCGAATGAATTTTTTTTAATCTGTGAAACTGTTCCGCGCGAGTTCGTCGAAACGTCACATAGATCGAAAATATTGTTTTAGCCCGAAATTAAAGCCCATGCGATATATGTGAGCGCAATGGAGATATTATTTTTCGCGGAAGATAAATTCCGAAGCCGATACTTTGTCACGTGTTGTTTCGCCGACGGAAATTCGAAAACAGGTAACAACGATTCTGCGCGATCGTTAAATACACATTTTACATGAAATGTTACGCGGATGATAATTCACTTTTTCCATTGGCACGGCACGGCACGACACGGCGTTGCTCCATTTTACGACGCGAAGGCAAACGCGCGTCACGTAACACAACACGGCCGCGAAGATTCTATTTGCCATTCACAAAGGATCGTATAAATAATAAAGCGCGTCGTTCGGAAAATATTTATACTGCCGTCGCGGAATAATTTATGGCCCTTAGCGACTCGACATCGCAGACGAAAATTTGATCGATAACACCGCTTTCTCAAAGAGACGTCCTAAGTGTGACGCGCACTTTTATTTGAATATCGAAAATCACTTTTACATCGCTACCTAATTGACCGACGAGAATTAAGCTCGAACGTTGTGCGGAACCCGTTGATTAAGGGTCGAATAATAAATCACGTCCCTTTAATTAAGACGATAATTAATCGACAGCGCTCTAGATGAAAGAGAGAGAGAGAGAGAGCGCGCGCTCTTTTATGAACCGGTCGGGAAAATTGGCTCACCTCGGAAAAAACGCGTTTTCCCTGGACGGAGAGCAACGGCGATGCTCTTATTGTGAATTATCGAATATGAATTTATTCCTGTTAGGAGTTGAAGATGCGTCGTTGTTATCTTACTGCGCGTAATTATATTCCGCTCGAAGCAGGCGCTCTTAATAAAAGTTGAAGCGAACGAATTTTAATTGTGTACTTTGTTAATTGGGAAATTTCAGATCGAATATTTCAATTCCTCTCAAACCAAATTATCCACCTTGAGGAATCGACGTTACGTGTTTCTTTTTTCTTACGTAGACTGAAAATTCATTGTAAGCGCTTTCAAGAAAAACTTTTCGTACACGCGTCGACAAACAAACGCGAGATATAATTTTATTTTATACGAGAGAAAAAGCGACGATTTTGCGTTTTGCGGGCACGAGTGGAATGCAAACGTCGATTTCTGACCTGCGGGGAATGACGTTTGGATCCCGGCGCGTTAGAGCGACCTTGCTTTGCTTTCTGAGATTATTGGTTTGCAACCAATGGCGATCGATACAGCTGAGCCATCCAATTGCCGCGAAATTGCGTAACCCGCGCTAAGGCTATTTCGATCGCTTAGCGCTCGGCGTGTATATAAGGGCAAAGTACAAATATGAATAGATCGAGCGGTATTTTATCTGCCGTGCCGTTTAAATCGACGACGAGTGTCATAATGTACCGGCGTGATATACGAACGCAAATAATACGACCGTAATGACTTTGCCGGCAGACGGATGCTAAAAAGAGCATCGTGGAAGATTAATGACTACCACGGGGAGAATTGTCGTACAATTCGAATCGTACTTAGGAAAGTATACACGCGAGCAATGTATCGCGGATACCCACCTTTCGCTTCGGAGAGATGTGGAAATAAATCGCACGCACATAAAATTAAAAGCTGACATTATCCCCGTGTGTCATTAATAATACGTCCCGCATTATGAGTAACATGTCGTATCGTTCCGATAATTTTCCGAACGATAGAGGTATATTTCGCGAGTTTTCAATAAAGTGAAGCAGATCGTTGTGCATCTAGTTTACAATCTGGCGAGTTAACGTATCGCTATCGCCGTCGACGGAACGAAGAGCTGGTTTTTGTTTAATGACCTTGCTCCACGACATTCAAGGGGATACTCGTAGAACGCGAGATTCCGCGCTTCTAATCAATGGACTGTTGCAGAATTTTCTCTGTATACGCGTTATCGCCTCGTTATCGGCCTATTAGACACGCTAGACACAGTTATAATGAAAGATTCATTCTGTTAATTAATATCAACTTACTAAGAAAAAAGACCTATTAATACACTAATATCCGAACCGGTTGTAATAATATCTCTCGCGGCAATTTATTCGCACGTTATAATAGCGTCGAGCGACGCGATAAATCTCATTAAATGGTCGCAGATCGACAGTGGGATCGCGTGTTGAGGATAAAATTCGGATATCGTGGCATTATCGTACGCCGAAACGCACTCTTGAAATGTTCATGTCAAATTCGAGGCGAATTGATGTCCAAAATGGTCACCGATTAATTGACCGAATATTCACGAACTATGCCGCCGCGCAATGTTCGAAGACATGATATTTGACACATTCCCGTGATCCAACTGTTCTCACCCGATTCGTTCTCTGAAAATTCCGACGAAATTCGATTTCAACATTTAAACGTCCCCTGCTCGAAGCGATTACGATGTATTATGATATATATATATATATCTAAGTCTAAAATACTCGACTGTTTACGCGGCGATTCACCGCCCGGTCGCGTTTCCGGCTTGACCTCCGCCGACTTGTACACCCCGAAGCGACATGGCCGAGAGAGAGAGAGAGAGAAAGTAATTACCACCAAGAGCGTTGATCACCGGGAACGCGTCGAGATGCATGCACGCATGAACAGGTTCCATCGATAATGGCCGCTCATCGATCAAGTTCCGCGCGAAACGACGCCGATACTTCCGATAGCGCGCGCACTTCACCCCGATCGCTTCCGCCTCGAGGAGAGGATCGAACCGCCCACGATCAAAAGCGCCTACATAGAGCACGACCGGCTCCAGCAGCCGGGATCACCGGAACGATCAATAAACGCGTACAATTTCGGAACTGGAGCATCGCGCTGGTTCTTCGCGAAACATCCGAGCAGCCGTTGATCAAGAGTCTCTTTCTAGGCGCATGCGTGGACGATCATGTGACGCCCCTTCGGATCGTTCAAATTTGTCGAAAGTGCAGCGTGATGCAAATATGGCGGAGCGTAACGGACGGATACATCGATCGGGCCGGCTCACCTCATTTCGCCGGCTCCGCGGGGTCCAAGGGCAGCGCAGCCGCCGGGTCAAGAAGGAGGATCCGACGCCACCAGCTCAGGAGTTGTGCGGCGCGATCGAGGATCCTGCTGGTACGGCCGGCTTCCTACGCATCCCGCTCCGAAAACGACGCGAGGCACGACGTCTGTGCGACGGGCGCGCGCCACGGGACGACGTTCTCGAAATTCGACCCGGTGACCGCGATTCGCGCGCGACGTACGGAGCGAACACACGAGGAGAACGTGAGCGGGCGGGGTACTCGACGACGGGGCTGCGTAAATTCACCGGAACGCGCGAAACGAAGCGACCGCGGAAACGCACCGTGCGCACGTCGAACTCGGACTGAGCGCCTGTGAGAGACGGAGAGGACACGCGCCGAGCGCCCCCCCACTCGCCAGCGCGCGCACTGGGAGGCTCCCCTCCGTCCGGCTGGGCAGCCGACCTTCTCCCACCACGGCGAGCGACGACAGGTGCGGCGAGAGTCTCCCCGTGAGCCGAGCGAGTCCCGAGATCGGTACGTAAGCAATGCCCACTTTTTTTGCCGATGTTTGGAAACGACATTGTCTCATCCGCGCCGACGACGTTTGTTTTGACTACGGGTTTTGAGCGGCTGCGCAAGATCCAACGACGCGGCGAGTCTCGGACGAGAGATGAACGGGACTGAGATCCATGCTTGAGATCGGTGAGTGGATCGCTCAGCTCGGAAAGGGAAATTGGTATTTCAAGGCGCACGGCGCTTAGCACTTATCAATGTGTTAAAATGCATATGTCGCTTGTAAAGTTTGCGTCTTAACGTAAATTTTTCACATTCGAGGTGTGTGAAACGTTAATAATGGCCGATACGAATCGTAGGATGGGACGAGCGTCAATCGGTTACCGCGTGAAATTAGTCAACGGTTACGCAAAATGTCGACGCCATAAACATATTCAAAATATCTCAATCGACCAATCACGCCACTTCGTGACGAAAGGGACGACTGAAAGGGATGCTCGGTGCTTCTCCGGATATCTTCTGCCAACATTGTCGAGAAAATGAATTGTAATAAGGTAAGAATCTTTTTTATACAATTAACGAGAATTCGTGAAAATAGTACACAAAATAAAGAGAGAGAGAGAGAGAGAGAGAGAGTGCTAGATTCAAATAAATAATTACTTTAATACTTTTCAGCAAATTTTTACTTGAATAAAGGAAATATTTTACTTGTGTAATGTACTTGGAAAATATTTTACTTGAATCAAATAAACTTGAATTTACCTGGAATATACTTGAATTTACCTGGAAAATATTTTACTTGAATCAAATAAATATTACTTGATAAATATTACTTCAAGTAAAATAATCTTGTTAAAATTTTTGTGTTACATTTTTAATATACCTGTTGATTTAACATATTATGTTAACATATATGTTGATTTAACATATTACGTTTATGCTATCTCCATATATTTTGTGTCGAGTCGATATTCAACATGTGTAAATGTTAAAGTAACACTTGTAAGTGTTAAAATAACATATTTTATACTTCAATGTCGATTAACATATTGTAGATATTACATTTTTGCGTTAATTTTTTACATAATATTTGTATTACTTTTCGGCATATTTACCTTGTGTTAAACTAACATAAACATTTGTGTGGATGAAAAAAAATATAGCACATATAAAATATGTTAAAGTTAACACAAAATTTTTTACAGTGTGATTCACCCGATGCACGTGGACGCAACACACGGCACTGGCGTGAGCTCAGCTTAAGGCACTGACACCGAACACTTCCGCGATGCAACGGCACATTTTTTCGGACGCCGAGAGATGTAAGGTGCATCGGTAGCGTTATCTTATCGCGAGCGATTTTCACTAATGCATTCCGACGTCGTAAAACGTACAGTCGAAGAGGAGTCGTGCGCTTCTGTCAATGGCAAGATTACACCTCATTGTGCGATACCTGCATCCAGAATGCACTTTGGTCATTCGACACCGTTGTTCATCGTACATTTTCGTGTGAAATTCCGCATGAAATGAATTTCCACGTGAAAAACGTATCAAAATAAGCGACGATCCTCCTCGTGGTGCTATGGTGACTCGATACGCATGGCTAAAAGCGACGTGCGATAAGATAAGATAAACAACGTGTCTCGCGCTTGTGTTGACCGAAACTCTTGGCATAGGCGCGCGAAAATATGCCACCGAATTGATCGTGTATCTCACAAAATGTGGTACATCGCGCCAGACGGCAAATATTTTCGCTCTATTGCGAGAAAAGAGAAAATAACCCTCAGAGCTGTCGATTCATTAGGCATGAGGATGAACGATGAGCGCGCTCGTCGTGCGCAAAATTACCCCATTGAATCGACGATGAAAAACTTTTCGACGTGTTTTTACGAGACCGACTCTCGCGATTCGAGGCAAGCCGACGAGCGAACGAGCGAGCGAGCGCGTAATTGCAGATTGCCGCTTCTTTAAGTACGATTCCGCGCGCAATTTGTCGGATACGTTAGCGACCATTTATCACGCGCTGCAAAATTAATTTAGATGCGTACAACTACGCCGCAACGCAGCGACGGTAGTAGCGTTAATGCCGACGGTATACGAGACCCTCGGACATTTAACATCTGTCTACGCCATGCATATACGCACGCTTACGCGCCTATGCAAATTCACGTGTTTTACTCCCTTGCAGCATCCATTCGAAACGGAGCAGTGAAATCGCGCGAATGCCGGTTAACGTATTCACGGTACAAAGATATACTGCGACTCGCCCGCGGCAATAATCGCGTAAAAATGCGAAACACACATTTTCTTGCGCCCAATCCTGCGCACGCTCGCGTCTCCACAGATTTTCATAAATCATATTCATAAACACGCTGAGGGGCTTTATTGAACCACGAGACGCCTGAGAACAATTATCGTTCGCGAAAAATACTACAAGGCTCTTTTGTGATTGCAGCGACACACTGCAAAAGTCGATAATTACGTCACGCGAAGTTTGAGTATCTTTTAACTCCTCCTCATCTTTTCGTCACATTTTATTTTAAAATATTTGGACTCTCTTCCAGTATTACGTGACATATGGAATTACTTCACCCTTCTCTTGCCGCCACCACCATTATATTACTAGATCTTTGGATTCACGAAACTAAACATCGCATGTTTTTTGAAAAATTTGTGGCAATTATTATTTTTAAAATAGATTATTTTTTTAAAAGAGAGAAAAGTATAAGAAAAGACAATATTAATTCTACACTAGAAGAAGCAGAACATTTTGCATGCTTTAAGGAAAGAATTCTATGTCCAATTATTCGAGATTTAACAATTATAAGATCTTAATTTTTCGCTTGGGTTAATTTGACTCACAACTGCCAAGCTAAGATTAACACAGAGCCAAAATGTCGACTCAGGTTTTCTCGATTTCACTTTAATATCGTAACTCTCCGAATTTTGGCGGCAACCGAAAAAGAGCACGGTCATTCCCGATGCAAATATATGCATGAAAGCATGCGTCAAGTTTTCCGGCGTATTTCGCCGCGCCAATCCTCGCCGAACGTCCATCCTCGGAAATGAGCGTATTTTTAAATTCAAATGAGATTTAGCCCGGCTTCGCGCCGTCTAAATTTGCACACGCGAATGCCGTCGCCACGGCCGTCTTCGTTCTCCTCGTGCCCGCTAGCACGGTGGGCGTTAATCGCAACATACAACGGCGTGCCAATTGTTTCAACCCTGACTCACCCGGTTCCGGATTCACGCTCGTTTCTCGTCCGAGTTCGAGCGACGCCGAGCACAGCTGAGCCGGTTTCGGCGACGCTCCTCGCCGGATGCATCGATTTTTCCCGCTGCCGCCTGCACCGCGCAGCGCCCGATGCAGCTCGGATGCATCGCCTTGCACGGCTGGATTACTTGCCAACATCCCTTCCCATCCAGCCCGCGTACTCCGTCGAGCGGAAGGGTGAAAACGCGGGCAACGTTCCACCGAAAATTTTGACAGCCGCTGAAGCTGACATAAAAGACGGTTTCATCTGAGAGGGAGAGGAAGTTTCTGTTATGTTTCGCGCTTCGTTTTTCGTCCTTCGCTCGTGCATGCGCGCGTATGTGTGCACGGCGAACTTCGCCGGAGAGAAAACGTTGTAGCCAGAAGAATGGGGCTTCTTTAAAAAGCTCAGGCGGTAATTAGCGCAGGATTTATACCGGAGATTTATACCGGATTTTCGTAGGATCTTAACGCGAAATTAGTTCGGTGTAAATTTAACCCCGGAATTAGTACGGAATTAGTGCAATGACCCTATGTGCGAAAAAGAGAGAGAGAGAGAGAGAGAGAGAGAGAGAGAGCTTTGCATGGAAAGTAATTTTGTAAGAACTTCAATGCAGAATCGAAACGATACTCCCGTGGGCATTTGATAGGAAGTTAATCACCTGCGTTATTCACGGTATTAAGCGCGATACATTGTGCAACGACTGAGATCTTCGTATCGTGAGCGACGCAATCACACTATCGAGGAAACCGCGGGAAAAAGGGGGAGGGAGGGGGGAATCATTTCTCATCGAGAGACAGGATCAAAGAATTCGGGGTCAAGTTCAGCCGGCGTGAATGATGGCCCGAACGAAAGAAGCTGCAGGTGAACGTCGCCGATGCGGCTGGCCACGTTAACGACTGCGGGACTGGTTTCTCAAGATTTCACGGCCCTTCGGACAGGTAGTCCCCCCGCAGGACATGCGCGAGCAAGGGTGGAGGAAATTGAAGGGCTTGAGCTCGCTGAACCCGTCATTGAAACTGATCGCTCGACGCGGGCGGTATCGCTCTTCGCGTCTTATTCATGAGCGATCGTCTACTTTCGAACGATCATGCCGCGTCTCCGCGATGGCCCACCTGTGGACCCGAAATAACACCGTGGAATTGTAACTACGAATCGAGGCGCGTCGCGCGTTCGTCAGCTCTTAAGTGCGCAATATATCACACTTTTGATATCAGGGTTGAACCGTGGACTCTTAAAGACCTGGAGCTAATAATTTTCTCGGGTTTCGGCGACGAGCGTAATTAAGCCGAAATTTGTTAACAAAAATATGTCTCCAATCTTAAGAAATTAACGAATATTTCTCAGTGACAAATTTATTATGAAAATTAAAATAGGTGGTTTTGAAATATTTCATATATGCCCGTGATACTCTATCGATTTTTATAAATTCCACGTAAAAATCAATACTGAAACATTCATTCTTTCATTGATTATTTTGAATTAGGTTTATATACAATTTCTATCTTTTTTCTCTTTTTTTTTCCTGGGGGCCTCTGTTGCTGCCTTAATTATTATATAACGCGATTTCGCAAATGGAAAACTTTACGTACTTGAAGGTAGCTCACAAGTATTCTATCTCTTGCC